ACTTGCTATAAGGCGAGACACGGCAGGCAAAAACAGTTGTTTTTTTTTCACTGGTCAATTTTGAGATTTCGGGATATTTGTCTTCAAAAACATGTCTTCTTTCAGACTTGGGTTGAAAAAAAGTCCGAAATACACATTTAGGTCTTTATTTTACTGCACTTTGTCTGTTTGCGTCTGTAGATTTCTCATAAATTCATCAAAAGTTGTACAATGCTGTCTCATCCAAATATGGTCATTTCCTTTTTATCAGCAACCAATCGTGAAAGTAAAAAGGCGCAAATGCGCAATCTCATTGGCTGATGCTAAATCATTAAAGCTCGTTTTCTCAAAATATATATAAACTTTATTGCAGACACAAGTCCATATAACACAGCATAGAAAAGAGATACAAAAATACATTAAAAATTCTATAGGAGATACAGGCTATTGCACCAATGTCGTCTCAACCTCGAAGTATGTCTATAACAGCTTTTAAGAGGATTGACTAGGGCCTCAATTATACTGTTTACTGAATTGTCCAGACGAACCAGAAAACCAAACATCAGTTGTCTCAAGATGACTTGAATGACTTTTCTCTCATACTCAAAGTCCGAAATCTCCACTTCGGTAGCACCTATACACCAAACTTTACAGTCTTGTACCTAGTTATATTATGAAGACATTTACAGAGGGATTTGTAAATATATTATTCCTAGCCCGATTTATATAACATTTTATTCCAAAAAACAATAGCCAATATATTTTTTAAGGCTATTGACAGTATATTCTGATTTATAGGATAACAAAAGTAGATATCCATAAATCCCTCTGTAATTTTTTCCCCATCTAATATGTGAACACAATGAAAAAATAATTTTGAACCTGGCTTTATCCAATACTCAGATTTCATTTTTTGAAATATATGCAAATTAGCGCATATTTAATTAGATAATGCCTAATTTGCATATTTAAACATTAAATTACAGAAAACTTGTAATACATTTTTTCCTCATCTTAATGTAGGTAATCAACTGGGAAAGTTTCATGGTGATATCTGCTAGTTAAAAAAATTACCATATTCACCTGTAGTGTCTCGCCTTACACCATTCTCCCACTGAATATTTCAATGTACTCACAGTGGACAGTTTCTCAATATCCTCATCTGATGCTCCAAGTGAGGCAAGGCCAATCTCCTGCAGGGTAAACGATTCAGTGTCAAATACAAATTGTTATTCATATTCAGTATTGAGAGGATGGAGATTCAAATAAGGCCTTTCTGTAATAAATTTACTTAATCTATTTTGACTAAATTATTTGTTATGTAGTATGGACATTTTCATTGTAGTACCTGTGAAAACTGAGCAAATTCGTTGTCTGCAAGCATAGGGATATGTCCAAGTAGCTCATGGCAGCAGTCACTGTTGACATTAAAATGTAGTTATTTAAAATATCAATAGTGTACATTAAAGGGGACCTATTATGCCCCTTTTTCAAAGTCTTGATTTTGGTTTTGGGGTCTACTAGAAGAGTTTTTAATGCTTGAATGTTTAAAAAACACAATTTTTCTCAAAGTATACATTGTTGCAGCACCTCTCTTCCCAGTCTGTCAGTAATGCTCTATTTAGTTCTGGCGTTTATGAAGACCCTCCTTCCAAAAAGCACAATGTGTTCTGATTGGTCGGTTGGATCAGTGTGTTGCGATTGGTCAACCGCTGAGTGTGTTTCGGGAATGTCACGGCCCTCACCATAACTGCATGTTTCAAAACTCAACCAGGCCTATTCCCTTTTTTTTCTGTGTATGCTTTTGCCAGGAATGATTTAAATGAGGTGTACGTTCCTGGAAGAAAACTCAAGACTACAATCGAGGCGTTTCAGGGAGTTCAGAAACAGTGCTTACTGATATAGAGAATAACTCTTTTTAGATTGGACTTTGTGCTTTTTAACTTTGCAGACATTTTTCCTGCTCTGACAGCAACATTACACAGTAAAGAGAGTTCAAAAAGTAAAAAAAAAAGCATAATAGGACCCCTTTTAAAAGTTTTGCAAAATGTGTCACTGTACGTACGGTTCAGGGGAATGCATGGGAGCTGAAGGGTGACGAATGTACTGGGTGCACTGGAACACCCGGAATGCTAGACTGGCTAGGAAGTCCCGAGCAGAGAGAAGCCCTGCCACTGGCCGCAACTGAAACCCTGTCCTCTCTAAACAAAAGCACACACAGACACAGAACATTCAAATCAATGCAAATCGCAGTTTGAACTTTTTGCGCACAGAAATTAAATAAACAGGCCTGTTTACCTTTGAGAAAAGCAGACACCTCTCCGAGCTGAGGGATCTTGTCTTCCCCATACAAACATTCGCTCTCCAGTTGGCCCAGGGCTTCTAGAAACTGTCCGCAGGCATGACTGGGGTACAGACTGCTCAGAGTCCTGTAGACCTCCCTCCTGCCTCATCACAAAAAGCGCTCTTAGAATCACGCAGTCATACGTACATAGAGTTAAAGAAGTAATGACTGCAATCAAACTCATAATAGGAAAACCTACCAAGTAGCAATCTCTTCTGGAGTGTAAACCACTACAGGTAAAGGGTCACCACTGCAATGACAAAAGAAAGATTTTTTTTCTTCTTCCTAAAATATATTTACATAGTTGATGATTGAAGTTCATGAATTAATTACATATATATATATATATATTATTGAGTAAAATATAGCACAAAGCACATTTTATAATAATAATAGTAATAATAATTAGTTATTAATTGACGTTAACAGTAATGTATACATTAAGTTATACATTACTACATTTTATAAAAAAAAAAAAGAATCTGATTGATTAGCAGAATCCACATTTTACAATAATAATAATTAATATTGTTATTATTATTTTCAGATAAAAAGAAAAAATCATATTACTTACTGCTTATAGTTGAAAGCCAGTGCGGAAATTAATTCTCTTCGTTTTCTGTATTCTGGATCGCTGAATCCCTGAATAATACAACAGTATTACAGTTGATCTGAATAACGCACAAGCAGAACTAGGATTATAAAATCCTGATCATAAATAATGCCCAGCTTTAAAAACAGCATCACTGTTGTTCACTTACAGGATGGTCCTGGTCCAGATCAGGGTCATATTTTGTTATCAGATGATTGCATTTGTCCAGGTCAGAAATCTTCTTTGGAAACCAGGGAACTATAGGATCAATATAAAACTGACATTATAAAATAATGTTATTATTCTGCTGTCATATGCAATATAGAATAGCTAAATCACCTACTTTTTTCCTCTTGCACTATTCGCACTTCATCAGCAACTCTTTTTAAGGAGTTGATGAAAATGTCAGTGTCGGAGCAGTGCACTTCACATCTCATGAAGAACTCCAGATCCTCTCCAGTGCTCTTCTTCGTCTTCCTGCTCGGCCGACTCTCCAGATGAAGGAGCTTGGCTTCGAAAGTCTTAAGTTGCAAAAACCAGACACAACATTTGTAACATGTATAAACACTAGAAATATCTGCTGTAACACTTGTGTAACACTTTCCAGTGTACTGCTTCAGGACTCACAAAGTTGAACATGTCTGTTATGTTTTTAGAGTCCTTAACCAGTTTTATGTGTTTGTTTCCAAATTTTGTTTTTTGCTTATGCCATTTTGAATTAAAATGAATGTGGGGTGGTACTGGGGATGGTATAATTATGAGAAGAACATTATGTTTGATTACCACAATAAATTCATGCACAGAACTTAAAATGTCCATGTTTTCTATTGGTGTTAACATTTTATTTTAAGGTGACAGTTACACAGTTTTAAGAGTGTACATGTGTTACATGTAGGCTACTTACTATAGTAATAACAGTGAAATTGCATAATTAAAGTAACTAACCCTAAACCAAACCCTAACCTTAGCACTATAGTAAGTAATACAAGTTAATCAAGTTAATTTGTGTAATTACACTGTAACAGCGTAAAATTAACCGTTTTTGTTTTTGACATTAGCTTGATTTTTAAACTTCCTTATTTGCAACAAAATAAAAAAAACTGTGAATATTAGCCTATAGTATGGAATATTAAACTAAATCGCTCAATGTGGAAAATCGTTACAGGCGTTGAAACAAAATGTGTGTGTGTGTGTGTGTGTGTTGAAACACCTGTAGTTAATGAATAAAAAAAACAACTAAGTAAAAGTAGCAACGTAGCCTACCTCAAATACTTTGCCAGCCTTGAAAAAGCCTGCGTTTTTCTCATTTTTGAGAGCAAAGACGAGGTTGAGGGTGACTCTGCCGCTCTTGTCCTCCTCAAACACGAAGCTGTCCCCGCAGCGCGACGGGCCCGGAGATGACGAGCCGCTCTCTCTGTCGCGCCGCGCGTCCTCGATCAGACTGCGCTTTCTGCCGCCCAGCGGGATATTCTGCACTATACTGTCTGTCTTCATCGATTCTTAGGGGAACAACTGACCACTATATCTAAAATAAATATATCCAATTAATCGTGGTGTTGACACTAAATGAGTTCAAATCTACCCAAATGCGGCGAAAACTCTATGTTCACTGTGGGGCCACAGCCTTGCGATTTATATCGTGCGGGACTTTATGTAAATGTGTTGCGCAAATGCACGTCTGATTTTATGCTGAGATGCGTCATGAATTTGTCTTTTTATTTCACAGGCACCAAATAGGCTAAGAGCCGTGACACGTGACATTTCACAGGTGCTTCACAGCCAAAAGCGACAAATTACATAAACTAAACGCTCTTTTGTGAAAGGTCAGACCTAAATGAGTCTTTATTAGAAATATATAAATATATTTTGTTTTTAGGGTCCTAAATTATGCAAAATTAGGGCATTGAGATCGTGCTGCTCTCCAAGGTACTGAAACTGGCTTCTGCTGTGCGCATGCTGTTCACGTGTTAATGCTATAAATAATAATAATAAATTAATTATTATAGGCCTCCATAATAAATTATATACAAAATTAGTAGTAGTAGTAGTGTATAGCTCATCTTAATAATACAAATACTACTAATAATAACAAAAGAAAGATATACTCATTTTTAATAATAACAACATCACTTTTATTCATTTTTTTTTTTAAATACATGTGACAATGCATGCATAACATTTAAGTCACAGATAAATGATAAATGCAGTATGCTGAATTGCGTCACAGTCAAGCGAAACTGCTAATTATTAAGCTTTGGTTTAATAGAACATAAACGCATGTAAAAATAAAAGCACTCCCGCCAATTCGTCCCGCCAAAATGCATTGGCTCAACACAGTTTTCAACAAGCCTTTGATCCTGTGATTCATTGATTGCGGGTTTGGAAAAATTACAGCAGCATTGTCCGACAAGACAACAAGAATCAACAGCTGAAGCAAATTCTGGACGGTAGGCAATCTGTATTTCTGTACGATTAAACAAGATTCTAAACTATTCTACATATAGTAATGTATCATGTAAAATAACAAATAGCCTATATTGCGAGATGCGCGCCTCAGAATGCCCGAAGCTTTCTGGTATTTACATGCGATTTGTTATAATGTTTCGTGTTATTTCGTTATCTGACAGATAAATACGTGGTGCCTACATATATTTCGACTACAAAAATTAGGCTATAAATATGGTCTACATGCAATACATAATGACTAATTTAATATTTAATAGCATGCTTTCTCTGTCACAGCTTGATTAGCAAACCTATATATAGAAGTGATGTTAGATGAGCCTAAAAAGCAATATATAGATGATGCTTATGAAGCTTCTTTGATTTTCCAGCATTTCTTCTTTACTCCCCATCGTTTCACTCCATCTTCCGCAGAGCATTGCAGAGGATTGAGATCTCACCTGGGGGAAAAAAAAACAAACAAACATCAATTTGTGGATTAAATTAACAAATAAGGCTACAAAAAATCTCAACAAAAACTGTGCAAAAAAGACTTGCTTCAAGATAAACACTTTTTAAAAAGGGGGTTACATTTTCAATTCTAAACTAAAAAAAATACAGTTTTATTGCTGTTTAATGTGGTGCTGGTGTTCCTTGCACTTTTAACCACTTTGAATTTCACTATGGGTGAAGAAAATTACGTTAAAATTCAGAATTCAGAATTTAAATATAAAATAAAAATGAGTAGAAATTATTGTGACAAGCTAAATGTTTCGAAACGAAGATGTTATGAAATAATGCTATAAAAAGTTTTACAGCTCTGTAAAAAATCTCAACCCATTATATTTAGTTTCTTTTTCTTGTATGGGCTTTTTTTGAGTTTTTACTTACTCCCAAAAGTTAAGATAACTTTTTTATTTTCTCAATTCAAATACATTGGACAAATCAATTGGATAAACACAGTAAATTAAGTTTAATGTTTTACAGTGAGTGCTGATCTGATGTTAACTAATGTATTCAGTTTGACTTGATACTAAATAGATTTTTTTTTTTTTTACTTTTGACTTTTTTACCAGTTAGTTTCTTTGTTACAATTTCTGATAATACATTTTTACAGTGTACTTTAAAAAAAATTGTAGAATCCCCTGCTTTACATTCAGTACAGAATTTCTACTGAAGATCCTGATTTTACTTTATTCCTTCTTGTATAATTATGGGGAGGACACAGTTTAAGAGATACATAATACTGAAGCCGCACCACTGATGCTGTCAGCCAGGTCCTTCAGCTGCTGAGCGTTGTCCAGCACCTCAATGCTCTGTGTGTAGGGATTGTAGTGCACAGTGAAAGGTCTGGGAATGGTGGCGGCAAATTTCCTGTAAAAAAAAAATGCACGTAGATAACTGTAAAAAATACTCTGAGAGAAAGACAGATTTTGTTGATTTAATTGTAGTCACTTTACCTGACTTTTTCTTTGGCGTCCTCGAAACTTTCAGCCACAAAGTAAACTGGCTGGAACTCTGTGATGGGATACTTCTGCATTGAGGTCTTCTCTGGATCGAAGGGCTGGAGTTTGGGCTTGTCTGTTAAACAGTACTGCAAGACAGTAGAATAACATCTAAACTTCAGCCTGATCTCCACTATAACCATATTTTTGTCCATCGGTGTCATGTTTCTGTGTATGACTCACCCAGTCATACCATTAAAAAAAAACATTCTCTAAAAGCTCACAGCGATAACCCAGTTTCGTTAAGTTATACCCTATTAGAGCACAGGGAAGTAAAAGTAGAAAGGCACCACATAAGCACCTGCAGTTCGCCAAAAGATGAGAGCAGACCTGCACCGTAAGCCTTTACTTCATTTCCTTGCTTGCACAGACCAAATTCCACAGTGAACCAGTAGACCTACAAGTAATAATAAAAAGCATTTTATAATCATGCAGTCCTTTCAAGAGAGCCAAATGTAACGTGTGGTCTTATAACTTGGCCTCAGTTAAAAAGGCCTTTTTTAATCTCTACTTACTGTGGCCAGCTTCTCTATGAACTCATCAGGGGCGCCCAAAGAAGCAATTCCGATTTCCTGATCAGACCAAAAACATCATCATGACACTGATAAAATGCACATTTAAAATATGAAGTATCAAGCAGATATTTTATACGCAGCTAACAGGCCTAATTCTATGGAAGCTTATTTCTGTCACAGAATAAAAGTGTAAACTCAGAAGAGTCAGAGTTGTGTAACAAAACAGTTACTATTTACTCTTATATGGAAATCTACGGTCAAGAGTATGTTACAACATACTGTATGTCAGTAGGCTATACAATAAATTCACTTAATAAATTTAGGTCATTGATATTATTGTCAGCAAGGGGTTGTAAAAGATGAAATAAAGAGCTGGATCTATTTGCAAGCAGTTTTCTTTAATCAAAATAAAGTGCATTGACGAAATCTGATAAACACAGGGCTATAAAAACACAGGGACATACTAGAGACTAAATTAGATAATTAACAAGACACAGGTGTAACACATGAGGGCAAATCAAAAACCAAGGCAATTGATGAACAAGGACAAAGGAAACTAGACTGGGAACAGTGCAAAACTAACTGAAACCAAATCTAGAACAGGCGTGACAATATTATATTATATTATGTTATTGTACAGTTACATTAAAGCATGTAAAGGTATCCAACCTGTGAGAACTGGGCAAAACTTGGGTCAGCAAACAGTGGGACATGACCCAGCAGCTCATGACAGATGTCCCTGGGGAAATAAATACATATTTTAGCCACTGTATTATTACCAGTATTTCCCATGATCACTTTTTACAATTATGAAATATATTTGTGACATTTATTTCACAGATAGAGATTTGTAACAGCTTCTTGGTATGTATACTCACGGTTCAGGTGTGTACATGGGTTTGGAGTTATGGCGAATGTACTGGGTGGAGTGAAACACTCGGAAGGCGAGACCAGCTAAGAAGTCACGTGAGGAGAGGAGACCGGCCACGGGACGCAGACGGAAACCAGTGGATGCTGAGAAATCAACAAAGGGTGAGATATGAGTACAGTTAAAACTATTTTATTTTATTTTATTTTACACACTAAATCCTCATTTTTACATCCCCTCTAGCTGATTGTATGACTTCAAGCCAGCTCTGCTGTAAGATGATCTTACACTGCAGGTAGCGTGAGATGTCCTCTAGCTGCGGGATGTTGTCCTCACGGTACCCGCAGTACTTCTCCAGCAGTGGAAAAGCACGGTTGTGTTCACGGCAGGCATGAGTGGGGTACAGAGTCTTCAGCTCTCGAAAAACCATCCCCCATGTGGCCTTCTCTTCAGCCGTGTATTCGATTTGTGGAATAATCTGTCCACTAACAGAGGAGAGAGGTGCTTAGCTCATGTTTAGGACACAATGTGTTCAAATACTTGTATCTATAGTTTTATTATTTAAAACAAACTTTGCTTTGCTTGAAAAGCAGGTTTGTGCTATATTTCTTAAACTAAGATATTTAGTTTTATAATACAAAAACACTTATAAAGTTTTATCCATCCCATAATCCAAAAATGAAAGTTCTGTCATCATCCCTCTAAACCTGAAACAAAAAATGTCTTAGTATTTTGTTGTTTTGGACCCTATGACATTGTATAAACACAAACGTCTATTATGTTCCCCAGAAAAAAATGAACTCATATATGTTTGGGACAACATGATGGTGAGTAAATAATGACAATATTCAACAATATTACTGATGCATTGACACCATTGTATGAGAACTGAACTGAGCTGGATGATGACATCACTGTTTTCTCCAGATCTGTTGTATAGATATATGAACTAAATTAATAACTAATGATTTGGTAACACTTTACAACAAGGTTCATTAGTTAACATTAGTTAATGTATTAACCCTTTGATGCACAACATGGGTCTAAATAGACCCGACTGAGTTTTCATTTTCTATATCTTTGCAAGAAATTAATTTCATCATTCAGTATTCCAGGTATTCCTCAATTAACTTGTTTAAGATCATTACAAATCCTTATTTAAATTTTTCCTTTCTTACTTTTCGAATAAAAATCGTTTTTGTTTCACTACCCTTCTAATGCGCAACATGGGTCTAAAAAGACCCGTATTCATGTTTCTTTGCTGAATATTTGAAATAAATATATTTTATCATTTATTAATCCAGGTATTCATTAAATATCTTGTTTTTGATTTCCACAAATCATTATTTTTATTTTCCCTTTCTTACTTTATAAACAAACACGTTTTTTGTATTTCTACATCGATTTTACACACATATAGAAAACTATTCACCTGCCACACATTTCAAAATTCAACACGGCTGCTTTTGTATATTTCATGCATGTAAGTTTTATTTAATACATTTTTTGTCACAGAAAATATTTGATATTTTGTGAAAGACATCTAGATATAGCCTAAAATTTGAACGTTTAGGCTAAGGTTACCTTGACCTTGAAATCCATTACTAGTGCAAAAGAGAAACATGTCCAATACTATTAGCTAGCTTGCGGTCGACATATTTTATTTTATCTAATGTTAGCTAGGTCAACAAAATAAAAGTTGCGATAGAAAGTTATATATACAAGTATTATATTGGTGCTGTTGGGCAGAAACCTTACCTGGGCAGTACCTCCATATTAATTTTTATTTGTGGTCATAAATCAATGCTATCGGTCACATAAGCTGTCATGTGGTGGCGTTCTGGTGCACTATGGCTGCTGTCGCATCATCCGGGTGGATGCTGCACATTGGTGGCGGGGAGATCCCCCCTACAGTTGCACTACACTACAGTTCAATTTCAGTGTTATCGGTTATATGTGTGTTATGCGTGACAAAGTGGCCAATAAACATATTTTAAGTGTTACAGTAAATGTGTTGATCTAAACAACTGTGACAATGGTTATTTTAACAAAAAGTTTTCTTTATTCTTTTGTTTTATCACGTTTGCATAGATGGGTCATTTTAGACCCATGTGTGTAAACTTGATGTATTTACACAAAACCTAGGAAATATTAAAATATGAATTTGTGATAATTGAAAACAAGATATTTTGAATATTCATAAATCATGAAATTTATAGATCATGAAATAGAAAATGCTCAAATAAAGTGATTTCAAAAGGTGAAACAAAAAAATGCCGAGCCATGCATGAAATAACATAGGAAATGAATACGGGTCTTTTTAGACCCATGTTGTGCATTAGAGGGGGTATCCATAGCTTGCGCATCAAAGGGTTAACTAACATGAACTCACAATGAGCAATACATTTGTTATAGTATGTATTAATCTTTGTTAATGTTAGTTAATAAAAATCCCGCTGTTCATTGTTTGTTCATGTTAGATCACAGTGCATTAACTAATGTTAACAAATACAACCTTTGATTTTAATAATGTATTAGTAAATGTTGAAATTAAGATTATTTAAGATTAATAAAGGATGTAGAAGTATTGTTCATTCTCAGTTCATGTTAACTAAGGTAGATAACTCATTTTAACTAATGAACCTTACTGTAAAGTATTACCAATTATTTTTTACAACAGAAATGAATCAACACTGAACTTACTTAAGCTGGGCAATGAGACTATTTTCTTCTAGAGCTGCCGTGCAGCCGAAACAAACTTTGTTGCATTATTTTCCTGTTATCACTGTAAAGCTGCTTTGAAACAATCTATATTGTAAAATGCGCTATATAAATAAAGGTGACTTGACTTGACACGGCATTATATTCATTTTTGGGTGAACTGTCCCTTTAAGATTCCAAATGCTTGTTGGGTTCCATTGTATTTTTATACCAAAACAGCACTAAAACAGGGGTGTAGCTAACTAAACAAACAAACAAGTGTTGCTCACATATTATAGTAGCACAGTTTGTGCTTAATACAGTGGAATCAGATTTTAGCCTTTAAAATGTTGTAAGTAACTGAAATAAGCACAAATGTCAGGGTACGTCGACACACTAAGCATACATGAGCTTGCACGTCATATCTGTGTGAGAATAAGTTTAGGAGTGATGAGTGGTGTTATTATTGATGGAGCGTGTATGTAAATGTGAGCTTCCTCAGGGGGCGTAGCATTCAACGCTCCTGCCCTTTGTAGTGGCCGTGTGAATAATGCATCTCAATTATGATGACAAAGCTCCCGGCGCTCCGGACTGCGCTGGGACCCTGTAATTTAGCCCTTTTGTTAGGCAGTAGGAGTAATTTTCCATAGAAAGCACAACAAAACAACAGGGAAAGCGCTAGAGGTGGGGACAATCTCTGTAGCCTATGGGAAAGTGGGGGAAGAAAGAAAGAACAGTGAGGGCAATAGTTACTGTCTGTAGTTGTAGGCAATGTCAGCAAATTCCTTCCTCCTGGCACGGTACACGGGGTCCGTAAAGCCCTGTGAATGAGAGCGACGTTAGGGTGTGTGATCTGGGATCACAAAGTGGATCTATAGCTAGTTCTCTCAGTAGCCTTTGACAGTATTACTCAGTCTGATGCAAAAGACTCATTCAAATGAAGCCTTTGTAGAGTGTTTGCTGCTCATGATGAATGCATTTCAGTTTAATGACGGCTGGAAAGGGGCAATTATTTATAATTACAGGGGCTCAATTAAAGCGATGACATCAATTTGAGGGCCCCCGCCCGTTTCCATTAGAATAGAGAGTGATGCAGATCCTGACTGTGGGCTTTTAGAGTCGCATGGACCAACTACGTGTCAACAAAAATACACCCACACACGCATGCGTTTGAAATAAAAATGAAGACGTTCCTCTTACGTCACTTTCGCTCTTTTCTCTGATCATACAGACGGTCACTTCAAAAACAGACAACACACACACACACAGTGTCTTACAGGATGGTCTGCATCCAGCTCGGACCCGTAACTGAGAATCTGATTGGCAAAGCGGTCCACGTCCTGGATGACATTGGGGAACCATGGAACTTTAGATGAGAGGGGGAAAAAAGAAGAGAGTTGATTAAAGGAATATTCTATGCGAGTTACGCTCTATTGATAGCACCCTTGTGAGAAAGAAGCACATTTTAGCACATTATAAATAATAATTTAAATGGAAATAATATACTTTTACTTGTAAGTGCGAACTGAATGTAATGTTTTTGGACACTTAATTGCATGCTAATAGCAATTAAATAAAAAATGTATTATAGTTTAAATTTAAATTAATTATAATTTCATCATTCATTACCTATTTTCTTTTAAATATGGTTGAAGTGTACTCCTGAATGTAATGACAGGCATTTATGGTAAACTAAATTACAATTTACTGTCATTTCTACTGAAACTTGTATGTCATGTATTTAAATATATTTGTTATTACGATAACACTTTACAAAAAGGTTTCATTACTAAAGATGAGTTATTATGAACTAATAATGAACTGCTCATCTACAGCATTTATTGATCTTTGTTAATGCTAATTTCAACATTTGCTAATACATTATTAAAATCAAAACATTAGTTCATGCACTGTTAAGTGATATGAAAAAAAGATTAACAAATACAGTAACAAATGTTTTGCTCATAGTTAATACATTAACTAATGTTAACAAATAAAACCTTATTGTAAAGTGTTACTACATGTAATCACAGTGGTAATGATGAAGTTACACAGTCCTTTAAAATATATTAACTTTAAATGTTTGATCAAATAACAAACTACAGTTAAAATTATAATCAAGTCATTAACATTTGCTTTAGTATGTTAGTCAACGCATCTAAATAAGTGTACTTCTAAGTACACAACCAAAGGTTATTAAAACATGATTTAAAATGTAACGAAGTAAAACTTGTTACAAAGTGCACTTTTCAAACGTGCACTTATGTACAGTGGGGTTTTTTTCCATTAAAATTACATTATCTCCTTTTTTAAATATATTGCACACTGCACATACAATTAAGTGCACTTCTTTTCCCAAGGCTGTAGTAATGCACTTACAATGGAAGTCTATAGGGCAAGGCATTGCACAAGACTAAAATATTATACATGCTAATGTAAGAAGAGTTGAAATGACTGATTATTCGTAACTATCCCCAAATTTCACTCATTGGAATCATGGGAGTAACATTTATCCACCTAGAACACTAGTCCCACTACTAAAAAGACAATTTAGACACATTTACACTTAAAATAACATACATTTCTGTATAGATGAAGTTTGAGAAAATTGAGCTCTTTTAATCCTCCAGAATTACTCCCCAAAGACTTTCATTGAAATTCCTGATTTCGGTTTCAATGAGATCTATAGTGTTTCCATTCTATGAGTTTTTATTAAATTGAGATTAATTAACTAAGCTGTGGATATGTGAACTTGCTAATATCGATTGGTCGCTAACATTGGCATGCTAACAGAGATGGATGACACAGTAGTAAACAGACAGCATTGTGTGGAGAATGAGCCAGTCTAGGCTATGACGCTAAATCTTGCTCTACAGCAGCCAGAACTGTGTAGCGTCTAGATTTATGACAGTTAAACTCTTTGGAGGTCCAGCCATCAGTACATAGTTCAACAGTGAGCCTGAGGCGGTCTGAACAAAAGGCCAACAACTGAAGACCCTGACTGGTTTTCCTCATCGGCCATAAATATTCATAAATGTCGCTGCTCTGTGTTTTCTTATTGTATAGAGGGGGAAATTGTGATGGGTCTGTTGGTCTGTCAGTCTTTGTTTTGAACTTTGACCCCCACCCTGCTGAACTGACTCTTGGAGAGAAACAAGACATTTCAGTCCATCTCTATGAGTCTGTTTGTCCTCAAAAACTAAACTAATGTAATTCTGGAAACAACCATAAGAGAGGCTGAGAGCAAGGGTCTTTGCCATCCATCTGCACAATGACATTTATGAGCGATTACAACATGTGTTCTATTTCTGTTCTTCTTAATCTACACTATCCTGTTCTTGCTCCCTCATTTGCTCTCGCGTTGTGTTTCTCTCTGACCTCAAAATGCGCCTTTTTTTTTCCTCCCTCATTGTCTCACCTGTGTCTTTCTGTTTGTTGCGAGACAACTCATGAACTTGGCCACTGATCTGTGTGCGCAGACTGTGAACAACTTCTTCCATTGCTTTACAGGAGGTTTGATCCACACTGATGAAGAACTCATATTCTTTTTTGTTCTTGCGTGATGGACGGGACTCAATGTGGGTCAGGTTAATTCCTTTCTCCTGCAAAATACAGACAATATGTTTATATATAAATGTTTCATTGGATTACATAATTTAAAATGATTCAATGTGCTATATTACAATTTCTGATTATCTCAAGTCTACTGCTTGTTCGGCCTATTTCAGAAGGCCAATATTTCATATAAACGTATATATATATATATATATATATATATATATATGTATGTATATAATCAAATATTTATTCACTCTAATTTATATTACAACCAAGGGAAGTTTTTTTTATATATATATTTACTCCTGTTTTAGGATGTTTGAAAATCTGACAGTTGATTTTACCTCAATTTTTAGTCACATTCAAATTGTATAGTCTTTCTTCAAATAGAGAATAAACACTAGGTGGCACTCCAAGCTAGTCCATATAAGGAAAAAGCAACTAATTAAAAAATGTGTAAGAAGTATCACGAACATGACATGATTAATAGTGTTTGATAGGGTTCTGTGTGTGGTCCTCCCTTTTCATAATTAACTTGGCATTTGTGACCCTGGATCACAAAACCAGTCACAAGTCGTGGCAACAGCTAAAAATACGTTGTATGGGTCAAAATGATCGATTTTTCTTTTATGCCAAAAATCATTAGGATATTAAGTAAAGATCATGTTCAATGAAGATATTTGGTCAATGTCCTACCGAAAATATATCAAAATTTTGTTTTTGTGAGTGGATGCAGCAAAAGCGAGAACATAAATGGACAACTTTAAAGGTGATTTTCTCAATGTTTAGATTTTTTTTCCACCCTCAGATTCCAGATTTTCAAATAGTTTTATCTCGGCCAAATATCAATAACAAACCATACATCCATGAAAAGCTTATTTATACAGCTTTCAGATGATGTATAAATCTCAATTTCAAAAAATTGTGTCACATTAAGTAAATTACTGTAATGTATCAGCAACTGCACTGTACTAAACTACACACGCACACACACACACACACACACACACACACACACACACACACACACACACACACACACACACACACACACACGTGCACACACACAAATGTTGGTACACTCCATGACATTCAGTTTTAATTCTGTACAAACTGCATATTCTATCCCCCTGCACTAACCCTACCCCTAAACCTACCCATCACAGAAAACTTTCTGCATTTTTACATTTTTAATAGAAAATTGTTTAGTGTGTTTTTTAAGCCATTTTGTATTACGAGGACTACCAGTGTAATACCCATGTCATTATACAAACAAACACACACATAATAATAATGTAACTTTTGTGGTTATCAAAATGCTTTTCAAACACCATAGAAATATATAGGTCTACTAAATGTTAAAAAAGAATATGGCCTCTACCGTTTATAGTTTATATACTATAAATCAACCAATCTTTTCATTTTTCTTAAGTTAAGGCAACGTATTGACACCTGTCTGTGACACACACACACACACACGGGGACATTACACTGACATAATGTTTTTTATACTGTACAAACTGTATTTTCCATACCCTAACCACAGAAAACTTCTTGCATTTTTTTATTTTCAAAAACAAAAAAGGAAAAAAAAAGAAAAAGAAAATTCACTTAGTGGGATTTATCAGCTGTTTACCTCATGGGGACCAAAAAAATGTATCCACAAGGACTATGATTTCGAATAATGCTATCTTTGTGGAAACATTTTGTCCCAATAACATAGGGTTTACCAGGGAAAAAAAACTTGACATTTAGTCAATTACATCACAAAGTTGCACACACACACACACACACCCACACACACACACACACACACACACACACACACTGACACACATTTGTGAAATACACATTTTGGCACCAACTGGGACTGACTTCTGCAGCTTTTCTTCAGCCAATAGGAGTGAGGGTGTTTTTGCACTGTTTAAGCTAAAATGTGTTTGTATTTATGTGTTTTTATGCACACAGAGGGCGGACACTCATTGCTGTTTGCCATAGGCCCGCAGAGAAGGCGGATGGGGTTTACAATGCCTTGGACCCTCTCTGGTCCCTTTTCATCTCTAATATTCTCCCTCCCTTTCCATGTGGTACTGATTGAGTCCATATGAATCTACATCCTTTACCACTCAAAACACAAAAGCAGAAAATCGCGGCATTATTTTTCTGCATGGTTGGCATTTTTTTTGCAATGCTGAGTTATTATAACTTTGTCCAGCATGTCAACAGGTTCAGTCAGAACATTTGTTGCATTCGTTCTGTTTTTTACATGTATAATGCCACAAAGCCCATGTTGATATTTGGCCCACATAAAATAGTTGATAATACAGTCTATTTGTGGTTATTTCTGGTTTGTGTTTTATACTGTCCTAACAATCTAAAATATAAAGATATTATGATATTAATGAACACTATTATTGGTATTGTATGAATTAATAATGAATAGGCTTCTGCACAGCATTATATTATTAATTATGAATAAATTGTCAGATATGTTGTTCGAACTGGAACTATTATTCACTATAACTATAATCAACCAATCAGTCTTTCATAAAGCACCCTTTCCCCTCACAGCATTTTCAATGTGGGCTGCAAGAAATTGCTTTTACTTATAGGTCAAAAGTGTGCGAAAATTGAGGGTGGAGTAGGGGGTGTTTTAAGGGGGTGGAGTAGGGTGGTACAGAAGAACCAATCAGAAGCCACAGGCCAAGCTTTTATCTTTATAGTAGCATTAGGGGGTGCAAGTTTGGCCCATATCCATTATTGACTTGCATGAAAGCACCAGAGAAGATTCTAGGATTTCAGGATTCTAGAGTTTCAGGAAAGCACTGCATGTATTGGCATGCAAAATGTTGTGCACTGATTTTTTTTTTTACTTTGGAAAAAGTTTTTTACTCTAATTTGTTCATTTTTCTCACATTATATTTTAGATTAATATACATTTTGATTTAACATTAATCATAAATGTTAATTTTCCCAAAGACAAAAAAATCCCTATAAAGTAAAATGATTCATTATTATCCAATTTATTTTCTTTAGAGATAAGCCAAAATGTCAATGTAGGTCATTATAATAATATTTTGGCATTTTATAATTTAATTTCACCTTAACTAAATCATCTATAAAGGATTTTCACTTGAGATAAAACTAAAAACATTTTGTTCATTTCATTTAGTCGACTTACTATAAATAAAGACAACTTCAAAAGACCTTACTGTTTATTGGGATGTCTTTTTAAAATATATATTGTTGTTTAAAATGTAGAAATGACACAGTTGTTTCACTTTTTTCAGTGTGCTTATGTAGTTATAATTTCTTGAAATACATTCAGTCAATAAAACCTGCCATCTACTTGGGAGTATGTTTCATTGCACGTAGGCAGAAGAAAAGTCAACATGCAAAAACAAAGTATACTGAACTTTGATACAAGTAGGGAAGCACTTTGGAGATGATTCAAGGAATCTTGGCATTCTTACAGGACACCGGGACTGTATGCATATCCACATGTGTTTGTATGTTGTGATACCTAAACACAAAGTTTAAATGTTGATACCTATCAATGAGTGTCTGAGTGTTTATCCTACAAAAATAGGAAAATAGGAAAAAATACCTTATGTAACGTACAGCCTTTGGACCCCTAAAGGGTCTATATTAGAATCTCAAAGGTACACATTGACACCCAGTGACAAGCAGATGTAACACTAAGGTACTACTTTTTTCTGATTGTGAGTCTGGGTGTAAAATCCGTTCATCTCATCAAAGCACAATTCTGCTTGATATTATTGATTTTTCTATGTGCTTGACAAGTACGGCGTGGACAATGTTCTTTCACAATGGCCTTAAGCTTTGTCTCTGCCTATTATTGCTCTTTTTATTCTCAGAAAAAAAGGGACAGAGCTGTCACTGGGGCAGTACCCTATGGTACAAAAACTAAAAGTTACTAATATATGTACCTTTGAGGTACTAATATGTACTATTTAAGGGTAAATAAGGTACAAAGATTTTGTACCTTAGGGTACTGCCCCTCTGTACCTTTTTTTTCTCCTCAGATTTATATTTTCTGAACTCATACTAAGGAGTACAGTATGTTATACAAAACAAAACTTCAGTGTCAGTTCACTACATCTACATGTATTTGATCAAAAATACAATAAAATAGTGATATTGTGAAATAAATAATAATAACTGTTTTCTTTTTTAATAATTCTGTGATGGTAAAGCTGATTCAGCATCATTACTCCAGTCTTCAGTGTCATATAATCCTTCAGATCCTTCATTCTAATATGCTGATTTTCTGCTCAAGAAAACGTTATACTACATACACTAACATCATTTTAACAATACAAAGCTGGTTGAAAATCTGCAAATGTGTCCTTTAATATATCAAGGTGTTGTGAGGTCAACATTTCCTTCCTGTTTTATGAACGGATGGCATGTCATAAACTTCTTTAACCCAGCTGAATGTACATCATGTGCACAGTATTGCCTAATACGCCACAAATACGTCCTGTTCAGTGTTTTGCCTTTCAAGGTCAGTGGAATTGCCTATCATTCCACTGACCTTGACCCTCATGTTTTGGCTTTAGATAAATGCAAGTGTATATAAGCGAGAGAAAGAGTGAGAGAGAAAATGGAGAGATTTGTCATATGTGTCATCAGGATACTAACCTCAAATAGTTTCAGAGCTTTTACAAGAGCGCCAACCTCCTCTTTCAGAGAGAAGATGCAGGACACCACTCCTGATTTGTTTAACGGTTCTTCCAGGTAGGATGAGGTCAGAGAGCCCTGTTAAACAAGCATATCGAGACACTCACACAGTTGCACTCTTCATCATCAACACGCATCAAATGAGTGCAGAACCATCATATAAAATGACATTTTTGAGGGCTTTGCACTTGTTTTATTTGATCAGCACCCACATTTCTTTCTTTTGTCCTTGAAAAGAACATTAGTTAATCTTTCATATAGTGCCAAGGCAAACAGAATAACCCGTCTCTGCTTGTGTATTTCCTTTAAAAAAAAAAAAAAAAAGATGCAACAGTGTCTGTTACACATTGGCAGCTAAACTACTGATGGCTAACTTTCTAGGCACACTCACCTTTCTAATTGGAAATTAATGTAAAAATAAATGCAAATAATGTTTGCTTCAATGTCAGTAGGTTCGTGTAGGTTTAGAATGATGTATTATTATCTTATTAACCATTGCATAATCCTAATGTTGCTTCAAAACAATCAAAAGTAGTGGTAGTAGTGTGTGTGTGTGTGTGTGTGTGTGTGTGTGTGTGTGTGTGTGTGTGTGTGTGTGTGTGTGTGTGTGTGTGTGTGTGTGTGTGTGTGTGTGTGTGTGTGTGTGTGTGTGAGCAGAATGACTTTAAAACTCATGACCAAAGTCACACTCACATTCCTGTGAACCCACATTCCTTTGAATCAAAATGTCGATGATATCATAATTCCCCCCCCCCCTATTTTTACACTTTAAAGAACAAAATAAACCTCAGGGCACCCAAAATTAAAGAAACATTAAAGCAATTACTGTATTATTGACTAATGTTTCTGATATTTCATAACTTTCAATCTATAATATTCTTTATTATAAGTACAATATACACCTTGAGGCACCCAAATTATACATTAAGATAAAAATAAAACAATGTATTATTGACTTATTTGAAAGCATCAGATTAATATTTCTGATTGCTTAAAATTTTATCAGTTTTAACACATGTAGTTACTGTTCTACTGGGATTTCAATGGATGCTACACTAAACTTCCCTTTGTTTTGTGGTCTGGAGAAAAATTTCCAGTCAGGTCTGACATTAAGTGAGTTAGACTGTAACTGACAAAATGTTATCCACACAGAATTTACACTTTGACAATTCTAAGCTTCAACCAAGTCAGCATGTCTTTATTCTTGTTTTGTTTTCCCTCTAATGTTGGGGAAGTGCTATAATAAATACATTATTTAAAATAATACAGCAACACAATCATAATAATAGCCTATTTTTAGAATAAAAGATCTAAAAACAGAAAGTTCTTCACCTTTCTCTCCAGTTCCCCGTTCATCTGCTTGAGACCTGCGTCCATTCTTGCTTCAGTCCTCAGGTGATGTTGATTTGTTGGATGAGTCTGTAAACTTTGTACAACCCATCCAAAACTCCATCGATTTAAATGCACCACGTGACACCACACCCCCTGAACTGCCCGTGTGCCTGGGTGCCTGTCACGCGACGAGTTGCCCGTAAACCGCGGGGATGTTTGGAAGCTGTCCAGTGGGAAAGACTTTTCAGGGGGAGTTTTGGGTGAGGATGAAGTTCAAAGTCAGCATTTCGTAACGATTACTTTGCCCTTTTGCTTCTCATCTTGATGTAACAATTGTATTAGTTACATAATTGATTTAATAATGAATCAAATTAGATGGGATTGAGTTTTCAAGATTGGAAAAAACTGAGGCAGGATCCCGTAATAATTATAAAAAACGATTTATAGGCTACATTGATGTTCTGTTTATGACCACGAGATGGCGCCAAGTTAATTGAGTCCAGCAGGTGAAGGAACGTGTTTAGCCAGCCTACGAGAAAGAATTATACAATGATTTTAGTGAGGTCTACTTAATAAGAGCATTTATTGCCTATATATAGCAAGTATATGTAAAATACTTTCTAAAACCAACACTAACATGTTGGTTATATATTTATAATGTAAACTTGTCATGTTTTTTTCAACGTATCGCATAGGCCTGCTGGATACATCCTCGTGTCTTGTCTGTTTGACGTCAGGTAAAATACACTTCTTACTTACTAATAATGTAACTTTTGTGGTTATCGAAATGCTTTCAAACACTATGTCTACTTGTATGTAAAAAAAAAGAATATGGCCTCACACACACGTCTGGTTTGCTATCTTTGTGTGGGGGACTCTCCATATACGTAGGCTAATGTTTTTTTATACTGTACAAACTATTCTATTCTAACTATTATATACTCCTAAACATACCCATCACAGAAAACTTTCTATAGTTTTACATTTTCAAAAAACTCATTCTGTATGATTTATAAGCTTGTTTCCTCATGGAGTCAAGAGGCATTTATTTTTCCTTTTCACAGTTAACACTGGGGAAAAGTGGGCATTGAAATGCTTGTGACAAGTCTCAGACATGCAGTGACATTTGGACCATACATAAATAATCAAACTGGTAAACATACAGACAAAAAAAGTATAGGCACTGAGTTATAAACACACACACACACACACACACACACACACACACACACACACACACACACACACACACACACACACACACACACACACACACACACACACACACACACACACACACACACACACACACACACACACACACACAAATGCTTGCACAAACCATCTATGACTTCACCAGTAGATGGCAGTAGGTGTCTGTACCATTTACCAGCCATTCTGTTAACTCCACTGTTCAATATGAAGAAGGCTAATAGCCTGGGCTCACCATTTAAATAGCTAGATAATTAGACCTACACTTAATGTACAAAAATCATACCAATACAATCAGTCCAATACAAAAACACTATTCATTTCATCAGCCTACTACCTCAGAAATTGATGTTAGAATAATATGTGATCACTGTATAGGATATGGGAATATTGCATTAGAATGTCTATATTTACGCAGGAGATGTAGGACCATGACCCAACTACCTGATCTATTTAGAGTTGAAGTCCTCAGAAATTGCACAACAGCAGGCAAAGACTCTTCTTGAATGAACATCTGGACACAATTACCCTTCAACACCTGCAGATGTTTTCAGGTTAGGATACAGTATCCCTCCCTCTGTATAGAAATGTTATCACAAAAACACATCAAGGTATGGTGGTAGTTAATTCACATATTCAAGCTAAGTGAAATGAATGAATGGCTGATATGACCAACACATCTGGCCTTTGCCTTATATTGTTAAGGGGAGTTTCTCGAAAAATCATAGCTGAAGTTTGTTTACTTCAAGGGGCCTACATTGAAAACATGCTCTTAAAAAGAAAAATGTCACTTTGCTGCAATTATGCATTTTTTACATAAAAATGTAGTTCACTATACTTAAAAATTGAAGGCAGCGACTTTTACAATCAACTTGGATGTTTAGGTCATTTCAACTTGAATTACATTAAACTGACTTAAAAATAAGCTGAATCTTGTATAACTTCATTTTGATGAGTTAAAGCGATTTAAAAACACGTCATAATTTATTGATCATATCATTTTTTACTGTGTACATATAAGATGAATACTGGTAAAGTTTCTGATCACTTTCTGATCATTTTTTTAATCGCAGTTGTTTAAAAATATGATACCAAATAATTTAGCCCCCAAAACTCTTAAAATTAAAAGTTGTTTTTGGTTCCATGACGAACCTTAAACATCCATGTTTTACAAACAGTTATTTATAGTGGTTTACAAACAGTTTTAAACACAGTTTTTACAAACTCCATTTTGGAACACAACTCTTTGCTCCAAATAACTGTTCAAAAACTTGTAGATCCTCCACTGTGACAGTGTGTTTTATAGGATTATCTTATGTACGTATGTGCAGTAAACATGTTGTTGCCTACATTATAATGTCTCCGCGGTGGATCGCGCGCTGCAGACTATCATGCGCGTGCACATGGGTGTGAAGCACGCGCACGCATTTAACAAGGAATCGGTGTTCGGTTCTTTCACGAATATGATGACCTTTTCATTTACTTCAACATTCTCGCATCCACTAACATCAGAAATAGCAGTGCATAAACGCCACGCATCTGCTCCAAATAGCAGCAATGAATAGTCATTGAAGCGATAAAAAAAAACTTTACAATGTAGTTTTAACAGCTTACAAATTGAAATATAATCCTGCATATCAAACCCGGGGATATAGGAGAAAACAAACGTCTTTGTATGGAGTTGTTTTGTTTTTATTATTTTACAGCATTTCTCCGAGTGCAGAGGTGTTTCAATAGAAGTTCAGACGCCCAGATGTCATATTAATTATTACACCCGGGAATGACTGGAACCTTCCCTGAGCCTAGAGTATATCATGAAAGAAAGAGGGGCTTACAAAACGCTAATTGGACTCTGCAAATGCACTGACAGAGCATGGTGGATATGTTTCAGAGAGTCCCAGCCGGAGTGAATAGAACCCACGCTTCTTTTCTTAACGCCCTTGCTGCTCTAAAAAAAGGAGAAGGGGGGAAAAAGAGAGAAGGAGAGAAAAGAAAGTTGGAGGGGGCTGGGTGCTTGAATGCTGGCCTGATCTTGAATGCCTCAGCCAACTAAGAGAAATTACACAATTTATTGCCCCCCTTCCTCTCCACTCCACATGCATCGCGCGCGCACACAACACCGGCGCAGGCAGAGTCATTCAAACAAAGTTGGTTGAAAGTAATGTGCCATTATCATGCTATGAAAGAAGCGAAATTAATCGAGAGATATAATGCAAGCAAATAGAGTGAATAGATTGTCGGGAGCTTTTCATAACGCGCGTCCACAAAATAACCCATCCGTTCCGCCTTTCCAGCTGTGATGATTTCTTAAAATGACTGGCCGAATTCATCTTGCTCTGATTCCCTAAATATTCTCTCTCTAGTCTAGGCTATATATGGAGCAATATTATATGGCTGTAACGCGTTAACAATGTAACCGTTACCGTGACAGGCGTGAATTCATAACTAAACTATACATTTGAGTCCAGTGAAAGCAAAGTGCTTTGAATGAGTTTGTTCGCCTCTGAATGGATGCGAACAAGTGGGTCTTATTCACAACAGCAGTTACAAATTGTTTGCTATATAAGATCTGATTTATTTGATAAGTAGATGATGATCGACATTTTAGACAGGATTCGTATGTGATTAAATAGAGTAGGCTAAACTGGGGTTCTCACAAACACGAATCATATACGCCCCAAATTTTTGAAAGTATAGCCATATGTTCTTGATTTCAAACACCTTATCTGTCCTCCAAACTACATTTGCTATTTTTTCCCGTAAATGTCAGGTCAGGACAAATATGTTTGAAATGTTATAAATTGTTATCATTGATGCCAGTAGCTATTTGATGGCCAAAACAATATTTGATTTTTCTCTCCTTATATGCTACATTTCTATGAATTGATTTGTTTCTAAACTCTTTTTCCTGATAAGCTGTGTAATGACAGGTGATTCTGCCATTATTATAAAAGCCTAAAATTTGAACAAATTCATGAACTTTCGAGTGTATTTTTAGCTGTAAATACACTACAGTCCATCGTCTCCGTAAATATGCTCGATTCTTTTATATTTTTCTCAAGCTTTTTTTCAGTATTTTAACATTATTAATCGCCAGTTTAATGACGCGTTTCTCAATTAAGCGCCATAATGAAAAATCGAAATGCGCCCTTGTTTAATTTTACAAGGTCACGGGATGCCTTCATTGCAGCTCGAAGTTAAGTGTGTGCGTGTTTGTTCTTCGAGAAACACTTGTCATAACCGAAAAACACCTCTAGTCATTCTTTACGAGAAGTTGTTTACTCAGTGGCAGGAGCGGCACGCGCCTGGCGTACGCAAAGCAAGCGCATCTCAGGGGGCGTGGTCAGGAGAACGCGCGGCTAGCCGTCGGCGTATTGAAAAGGCCGCGCTGTTTCCAGCTCCTAACTCAGAACAGGTCGAGAGTCCGGAGCACCCCTGCCCATTGAAGCCACACGTGAACGCCACGAGCAAGACGCACGGCCACTGGGCAGTCCAAAGAAACTTTTGTGCTTTCCCTCGCTCTTTTTTCCCATCCGCGAAATGGACATCACTGCCAAGATGGAAATAAGCGTAAACCAGCAGCAGTTCATGGCACCTGCCTGCTTTTTTGCCTCGCAGAGCATCCAACTCAGTCCGACCGACAGCCAGTGCAGCAACAAGTCCGCATCGAAGCAGGCGAAGAGGCAGCGCTCATCCTCGCCGGAGCTGCTCCGGTGCAAAAGGAGGCTCAACTTCGCCGGCTTCGGGTACAGCTTGCCTCAGCAGCAGCCGCACGCGGTGGCCAGGCGGAACGAGAGAGAACGCAACCGGGTAAAGCTGGTGAACAACGGCTTTGCTACTCTCCGCGAACACGTTCCCAACGGAGCGGCGAACAAGAAGATGAGCAAAGTGGAAACGTTGCGCTCGGCTGTGGAGTACATCCGCGCGCTCCAGCAGCTCCTGGACGAGCATGACGCGGTGAGCGCGGCGTTCCAGTCGGGCGTCCTGTCACCCACCATCTCCCAGAACTACACGAATGACATGAACTCTATGGCCGGTTCGCCCGTGTCCTCTTACTCTTCAGATGAGGGCTCCTACGACCCTCTGAGTCCAGAAGAACAAGAGCTCCTGGACTTCACCAACTGGTTTTGAACGTTCGTGAAAGGTTCGTATGAATCAAAACATCATTATTGCAGCTCTTGCTGCGCTTTTATAATTTGTTGTTCATGCAAGATATTCACCATGACATGTTCTCTTTCTAGGAAACGCATAAAAATCGCAGCACTCACTTGGGAGGAACTCGGATGTCCTCCAAGAACACAGCACTGCGTTTGCGCTGCAGTCCGGTTCGGATAGACTCGAATCCACACCCAGAGATGGCCCATGCATACCGGCAAACCACGGGTCCCGAGTGTCAAAGAGCCAAAGGACTAAACGGGAAGAGCGGGGGACCAGTCCTTCCAGCGCATTCGCCCAATAAATCTATTTTAAAATGACTTTCCACGACACTGTGGCATATAAACAACAATAAGCAAACGTTGTTCTTTACCTATGCTAATGTAATCAAAGAAGGTTTGCCTTGATAGACCCCCTCACAACTCTAATATGCTTCCAACTTGGCGAATTTTATTATATGAAGTTCTATTTGTATAAAATGTTTTTTTTTTTAAATATATTAAGCTATTTTTGTATGTAAGAGATTTATAGATGTTTTTGTACACATTCATTTTAATATGTATATATTTTTGACCTATAGCTTGCCGTAAATTGCTCATTACCTCTCGCTTATTCAGACTTATAGTCTCAAATGCATCGCAGCTGGCAATTCCCTTTACGGTTGTGGGGGTTTTAGAGGAGTTTAATACTCAAGAGTTTAAATTTCAACACCAACGTGTCTTATTTAATAGGAATTAATTGCAATTGTAATATGACTCGAAGTGATCAAAGGTTATGCAGCTATTGTCCAAACGGAGGTGTTTTGTCTCCACACTGTTCCACTTTGCCTTTACAATGCTGGGGTTTGCATCTTTCAGAAAATAAGAATATGCCTTATCTCCATATTTTCTACAGTTTAGTCTCATAATAAAAGTTTCTAAAAGAAACATGTTTTCTTGAGTTTGCTTGTGTATTGCAACATATTATCTTGTTGATTACTGAAATCAATTTTATAAGAACACAATCAAGTGTCAAGTGTGGATTTTCGTTGCACATTTTCTTTTTTATGGGCAACAAAAGTGATAAGCCTGCTAAGCCTCGGCAGTCTGCCTGTTGTCAGGCAGGAGGAGACGTGACCAGCATACTGGACCGTTTCACAGACTGCATGCGCTCATAATGAATGCCAATTTGGAGAAGACAGCACTTTTGGAAAATAAACATATTGTTGGCTCACCCTACTAACACTTTTGTGGGTTAGAATGGCAGAGAGAGCAAAGGAACAAGTACTCACATGAGAGTGTATAAACATAAGATGGCTATTTGCTTTTATTATTGTTAATAATTTTAAAAACAATGTTACTTAAAACGAGGAAATACGATTGTTAAAATACTGAGAAATATATAGGACTTTTGTGGACGCACAGGGCAAGATGGTTCTTAATATATTTTTTATATAATAAAATATTTGTTAAGAAAATAGTGTTTACAGATATTATGGTTTTCGTATTTTCTCCAAGAATATCAGCCTTTTAATCTTTTTCTTTCTTTTAGCCTGGACAGTTACACCACCTAGGGCATTTTAACTTTAGGCCCAGCAAAAATATCAAAATAACTTTTAATTCAGAAATTTTGAAAATGTTATTCATATTCAAGTAATTTTCTATTGCGTTTTGATGAAAAACTTCAAATAAAACACGAGCGTGACGTCACTGACCCAAAATACAAACGTATTTAATAAAACACTTTTGTTGTTAAGTTTACACATAAATAACTCACAGTCGTGAAGTTAAAAAAAAACAGTCGTGGAGTTTGACAGGTAAAGTGTGTGTGCGCGCGGGGCGGGCGCGTGCCTGCTGTAATGAATTGAAAGGCTCTGTTCGCGTGTGTGGCGCTCGAGTGGAGTCGGCTGAAGGCGCGTGTGCCTTTCTGACAACAGCGCGCGACACGCACTCAACAACTGCCCCTTTAAAAACACACGGCGTCTGGAAGCGAGTGCTGTATACAAGAGGCAGGTGTTGAAGAAAAAAAAAGCATGTCCCAGACGAAAGTAGCGCGAGCATTGTTTAGGGTATAGGCCTAAGACGAAGTAGCTCGACCAGACAGGTTCGTAGCTGGACTGAAAGTTGGGAGTAAACTCTCATGGCAATTCGAATCTATTTGACATTTTGGCGTGTTGGCTAATTCGTATAAAACCGTACGTTCTCGTACGATCCACTTACGTTTCCGTTTAGGGGTGGACCTTCATGCTGCTTACATATTTTTCTTTCTAAAAAAATCGTACTTTTCCTTACGATTCACAAAAATTGATACGGAACTGTCACATCGTAAAATAGTTATAGGTTTTGTCATGAGATCTGTCCAGAGAAGTCAAACACTGCATTTAAATTTAGTTTTAAAACAGACCAAGTCAGTTGTCTCTGAATTCCCTGTGACTGTGTGATTCACTGTGACCCAACTTCTATGACATGTTAAACCACCATCCTAAATGGATGGGTCTGAACTGTCAACTAGCTTGGGAAATCAATTTTTGCACTTATCCATCAGTCGCTTGACCGAGCATCGTCTTATTGCAGCGTACTGGACCCATTTGTCAGTTACATTTCAATAGATAGAGCTACATATCTATCTGATGTTAAATTAATTTGGGGAAGAGAGGCAATTCTTTTTTTTTCCTCGGAGTCCTTAAAAAATCAATGCATCAGGATCTCTGAGGATGAAACATATTTTCCACTTGATTTTATGGCTTTTTGTGTCTGTCGCTGAAAGATAAGCCGGGAAAACATAATAAAAGATGGCTTCCATCCAATAAGTTTGTTCAAGGACATTGTTTTATCGAGACATTGCAGAAATCATTACTAATTGTTGGTTTGTAGTTTACTTAATAGTTGCTGCCTTAAATTTTTAAGTACAATCAACTTGGATGTTTCAGTGATTAAGTAAAACTTAAATCACATTAAACTGACTTTAAAAAATGTAATTGTGTATAACATAAAAAGTTTAAAATCGCTGAACTTATTTTGATGAGTTAAAGCAATGTAAAAACATATGTTAACATTTACAGAATAATTGTTGGTTTGCTGGAGTAAAGCTGCAAAATAATCTAAATTTGTTTAGTTTTTTCCCCCACAACTAAACACACAGAAAGCAATGGAAATGTCTTGCTTAAACTTTTCCGGTCACCTGTTGTGAATGTGCTTTGTGTCTAACCTGAAAATTCAAGCCACCGATTCCCTTTACAAACTATTCATGGTCAATCTGAACTGTGTCCAAGGGAACGGTAGCAAGCAACGCAGTGTGTGTAGTTGTGCGCACAGCCCATTGGAGCCTGTCCGCGTGTCCATCCCTTTGTGGCAGAATGTTGCCTCCTCATTATGCCATGCCTGAATAGAACGGGAGCGGCAGCATGTAACCCACACTGATTAGTGATCCGGGCCCCTCTGATGTTCTCCCTGTTGAAATTCATGGGGACTTCTTGTTATCACTCCTCTCCAGCCTCCTTTCATTCTCTTTGAAAGTGCTGCCATCCTTGCCTCTCAACTTCTTCAACAGACTTTGTAAATCTAAAGACGCAGACTGTTAGACAGCACTCACTTCCTCATGAGTGCCCAGAGAGCTTTTCACAACTGTCCAATCTCTAACAGAGGACTGCGGTCATTTCTTTAGGCTAAATGAGACCGGTCGTTCTCAGTTTTTCTCGCTACCTCGATCCTTTTCAGTTTTTCCCCCTCTCTCCTCTTTCTTATACAAATGCTCACTTTTGTTATGTCTGAATGTGACTGTGCTCTCCATGCTTGTCAAAGCTCTTCTGTCCTCTTTCTCCATGAGTTCTAGTTATGGTGAGTGATTATCAGTGATGATAGGATGTTTGATGACCATGTTTGCACAAACTTTTAGCTCTCTGTACACCAAATTGTGAATCACATTTAATAAAGCCTCTAGCCTGCATGAAATATGAGCTGCTCGACTGTGGCCCTGAAGAGTGCAGAGCAAACAGTGTTTCAGTACCACAGACAGCACTCCTCTATGTTCAGCATTGATGACTCTGCCCACTGATGCAGTCTTTTGCAGTAAATTAAATCTATGGACTATTTTTCAGGAAACAGAGTGAAGTTTTGTCATTTTGACAACACAGTCAGTCAGTGCTGACCTTTTTTTTTTTGGAGAGTTATTGACATGGATGATGAAAGAAAAATTAACAAAGCATTGTTGTAGTTAATTTTTATTGATGCAGGTTAAATGGTACACTTAAACATAATCATTTTTGATCAGTATTTGTTTCCGTATTTATTACTTCTGTACTTAGTGCTGATTTTTTAGCAGTGGAACACTTGACAAAATTTGATTACTCTTAAATATTTCTACTTCACCAGTTGCCCCACCTGTATTCCATTTATATAATATAATATAATATAAATATTTCTTGAGCAGCTAATCAGCATATTAGAATGATTTCTGAAGGATCAACTAACACTGTAGACTGGAGTAATGATGCTGAAAATTCAGCTTTGACATCACAGGAATAAATTACATTTCAACATATATTCAAATAGAAACAATTATTTTAAATTGTAATAATATTTAACAGTTTTTTTTACTGTATTTTTTTCAAATAAATGCAGCTGTGATGAGCCTAAGAACATCTTTCAAAAACATAAACCACTTACCAACCCTAAACTTTTTTCAGATATGTGTATTATATATATATTATATATGTGTTTTTAATGTTTTGCACTGGAGTTAATATGACATAACCATTGGTGCAAACAGTTCTTGTTGATACCATCACAGGTTACTGGAGTCATCGAAGGGGTTGGCGATCACAGAGTTGTGGATGAGGATGAAGAGAGGCAGGTGAGCAAGGAAGTCGAGAAGGTCGAGGGAGCGTAGATTGCGAAGTTCCCGTCTTACCGACGCCTCGTGCTCCGGCCTGATGCCCCCTGCCTTGAGCTCCACTAGGAGTTGCTCTGCCTCAATGCAGCCCTCTGGCGCCCCAGCGCCCCCTGTCTGGGCCTCCAGTAAGAACAGGAACAACTGCTGTAGAACAAGCATGAATACTCAGGTTAGTACAAAAGCATCAATGTATTTAATGTCAGATCTTATGACACTTACATTAGGCATGCAGGTGCACTGGATTTCAATATGAATATTCTGGATATATTTTGATTAATTAGGTTTTATTTTGAGTGCTTTACTGTTGCAGATGTACTTGCACTCCTGGGCAAAAAAAAAACAAGAAAAAAGGGCCAAGCCCCAAATGGCTAAATACTATGCTTTTAATTGTTTTAACCACAAATTATTGTTCAGGAAATCAGCAAAATTTAAGCAAATGTACTAATTAAAAAGCCATTGCTGTCTCAGAAATACATCAAATAAAGAATGAAGATTTGGCAGAATATGGGAAGTTATGTGTGGAGTGATGAATCACAGTGAAACACGAGTTGCATTGTGATGCTTCTGAGAAGTGTCTTGGAGAATTTTTAAAATAAATGTATCTCTACCACAGTGCTCTCACTTCCCACAAATGAAAAGTTGTTATCTAAAGAGGAATGATTATGATGTTGCTTTTCAACAAGACAATTCTCCTGCCCAAACTGCAAAGACAACCAAGAAGTGGCTTGAGAACAAGTCTATCAGGCTCATGTTTTGGCCTGTCAGAGTCCAGATTTGAACCCTATTTGAACCCTGAAAAATGTCTCCCAGTTCGTTTGAGTTTAATGTGAGACAAAATATGCTCATATTTTGTCTCACATTAAACTCAAACGAACTGGGAGACATTTTTCAACTATGAACTGTTTGAAACCATTAACATTGAGTGGAACAACACTGACTCTCCTTCCTATAAAAAGCTGTTTGCAAGTTTACCCACATGGCTTAAACATTCGCAGAAAAGTGAAGGCTATTCCGTATTTGTGCAATTCTTGTTAATTATCTGACCAGGGATTTGAGATTAAAGGGGTCATATAATGCCATTTTTGTACAAGCTAATATGATTCTTTAGGGTCTAAATTAAAAGTTTGTAATATACTTTAATTAAAAATTCTCATTAGTATTGTAAGAAAACACTTATTTTACCTGGTCAAAAACAGCTCTGTTTTCAGCACGCCGTTTCAGTGCATATGACTTTAAATGATCATGAGCTTTGCTGACTCCGCCCCTCTGTTCTATGCGTACACCAGAGCTCTGGCGTACACCATTTGTAACTCAATAACACAATAACGCGTTGTTCAGTATAAACGTGGGATTATGAATTATATTGAGAACGTCATACATAGAAAACATGCCGTAATGTACCCTAAGTGTAAACCTTAGACGCATTCATTGTGAAGCGTGCAGCTAGCGATTTGCAAAGATTAATATATTAATATAAAGTTTAATAAAACGTTACACTCACTTCCGTTCTTCTGGAGATTCAGCAGGAACACGAATATCTGGTAGCAGCTACCGATCCATTTTTCATGAGCAGCAGCTTAGCAAATCCAGCTTTATACTGATCCTCGTCTATAAAGCAGTCTGGTGAGAAATGATTCGCGCAAACATGAACGCAGTGACGTTGCTCGTGGGGAATATTCCCTTCGAAAACAAACACAGCCACTGCGTCTTCGGCGGTTCGGATTTAGGAACATTAAAATGACTGCTGTGTTCGTTATTACACCCACGAACAGAACACCACAATCGCTTAGACGCCATTCTGCTCGAGCGCATCAACAATGGCGGACTATGTTGACATCTCGCTCACGAGCGAGGGCGTGTCTGTGTTGAAGCGCTGCTGTCACTCAACAATCGTGGGAGGGGCGTCCGTTTTATTGATGTCACTAAAACGAACGGCTCAATTTGAGGCAGGGGAAAACATATAAGGAGATTAAAACAAAACCACTGGATGGATTTTTATCATTATATGATGGTTGTGTACAGACACTGCCAACACATATTTCAGTATAATCAACTTGAAAAAGTGAATGTACCATTATATGACCCCTTTAAAATGTTAAAGACCATTAACAGAGACCACTAAATATTTTGCCATTTTTGGTTTGGCCTTTTTTTGTGTGTGTGTGTCCAGAAGTGTAGTACTACCAAAATAAAATAAAAACTTTTTTTAATCAACTCTTAATTACAAGGCATTATCCTGGGCTTTAACTTGTGGTACATAGCAGCACGAGTCTATACATATAACCCTCCATTCACATGTACAAATCCATTGTGAGTGAATACATTCATGTTGCCCGAGTCATCACCTATTGCACACTTCTGGATAGTCAGGGCACTGATGTCGGTATAACCTGTATGTTTGTGTGAGAGAGTGAAAGCGTATGCTGGGTTCACACGTGTGCCAGAGGGGGCTCAAATTACAGCGGCCTTTTCCTACTCTTCTGTGAGCGCACCTGTTTGCACAGTTAAATGCATCCGAGGTAATGACTAAAAGTGAGTGTATGTGTGTGTGTCCTGTAATCCCCTGGCAAAGTGCCCACTCCTCTCTCCTCTCCCTCGATAACAATTCAAGCCCAGCTCACTCTGTAATTAGCCTCCCCTCTCCACCTAACCCCTAGACCAGGCAGGGGCTCAGTTTCCCCAGCCTCCGCCATCAACTTTTATGTCTCTACGCTTTTCAGCAGCCGGCCCTTTCTGTTCAATGGGTCTGGTCGGGTCTTTCCACTGAATGGCCACCTTATACCTCTGCTTTATCCGAGATGAGCAGTATGTCTTTGCTTGATTACAGAGCACGCTGCACTGGATGTACACTGACGGCCACTTTAATGAGATTACAGCCTGTAATCCATGAATACGAGGGAGGGGGAAAGGCTGAAGGAAAAATGAGAGAAAATGCCATTTCTCTTTTTTACTCTGGCTCTCAATGAACATGCAAGGTGCTTGACGGAAACAGCTAGTTTTACTAAGCCCGCGTTTGAGTTGGCCTTTAAAGTGTTTTATGGTCTCCATTTCACTGTAATTAGTTCCTACTGAGAGAGGGAGAGGGAGAAAGAGGGACAGAATTGCCAAATGAACAGGAACAGTTTGCTATGAAGCAAGTATGACAGATGACAATAAATATCATTATTGTCAATAGAAAACAAACCTTGGCTTTATAAAGCTTCATCTCCAGAGATTTGAAATCCATCTTGCTGACGAGGGAGCGCATGAAATCACTGTGAATCAAAAGAGAAGTCTGAGATTTTTGATATTTGAATAAATTATATATATATATATATATATATATATATACACACACACACACACACACACACACATATATATATATATATATATATAATTATGAGAATAAAAAAAAAATCAAAATTTATCAGAGGTCTATGGGGTTATGCAAGGATATCTGGTAAATGTTAGCGTATTTTGGCGGGTACTTTTTCCAGCGAAATCATGTGGCACATTGTTTTTGGTGGGGGTGAGGGGGGCAATGATGCTAAAGTGTTCTGAGCCCTTTGTGGTTGCTCATTATGGCCTGTCCCCTAAAACAATGATCTCGGACACAGGGCCAACCCGCCACTATAACGGATAAATAAAACCCTACCCCAGTGTGAGGAGGGTGTTCAGGGGACACGCTCTGGAGCAATGTGACCAGTACACATCTACACAAATATACACTTGCACGCGCATACACTGGGATAATTGCTCAGAGACAGCGCCTATTCAGTCGGGACAGAACTCCACTGTCCAGCGTGTGGCACAACGATGGTCATCCCTGTGCTAACGAGCCCCTCCGTTCAGAGAGCATGCTGGGAGGAGAATAGCTGCTGGTACGCCACCCTCAGACAAACCGCTATTGGCCCGTTCATCTGGGCTTGCGGTGAGACAGGGGGTTTGATGGGAATGAGGGGAGACAGGCCAGCTAATGATCATTAATTGCACTTGGTTTGCAGAAAAAGAGCCCAAACTGCACCGTGGATAATAGCCGGGGCAAAAGAGAGCGCACCAGAGACAGAGAGGAGGATAATAGCAGCTCTAACCCATTTCTATTGTTGCGCCCCATCACCGCGGACCTCGTGCTTACGTAATTGCCAAAGTTTTGGCGGTTCTGGCAGGGGGGTTTGCAAGATATGGTTGGATTTTGGAGGGGGGCAGACGGGTGACCCACTTAAAGTTTGGGTGGAGTTGTTTTGACAAGCAGGTTTTGGCGGTAAGTGTGTTTATGACTGGGTCAGAGAGTGCAAGAGAGAGAGAGAGAGGCGGGATGCTAAAGCAGGTCGGTTCAGGTTTCCCTCCGTTTTTTCATTCTGAATTGGTGCAGTGAGTCACGCATTGACTCGCAGGGTTGAATCAGTCCAATTAAGCCATAGATTTACTGTTCTCGTCACTGGAACTGAACCTGTGGACACTCAGGCCACACGCAGCCCACCCAGGGCGCTTCTACCCTCCGACCCACAAAAATCACACAGGTGGATGAAAACACGTTGTTTTGAGGGATTGCTGCTGCTAATATCAGCCTCTGTATGGAAATGCAGTGGTTAATCACATGAGCAGCTCCAGGAGAAAGTGCCAAAGCACTGACAGATGGCGAGAGCTAAAGGTGACAGGAGAGATTTTGGTTATTCACGCAAAAAAACAAGCAGTCGGACTGGATTTTGTCACTCTAAGAGGGTTATTACCACTGTAATGAGTGAACATGGGTGTATATCAGCTAATGAATGGGGTCAAATCCATATCAGGGTTCAGAAGAGGTTGATGGAAAAGGTTAAAGCACATAAATGTCCCTATTGTGTCCATTCCAAAGAAACAGCCTTGTTCCTTTTCATTTGTTGCATTTGTCCACTAGCATAGGGAAAGGCATCGCTCACATGCTCAAAGAGCAATGCCGTAAATCAGCGAAGAGGCGTGACCCCAAATCCCCTCGCACACATAACCCAGGAAACCCAGAATGGGCCCCTGCGTTGAGTGGAAGCTGTTAAGGATCCTAAAAAAAGTGAGCAGGAATGAAAGAGCCTGTGTGTGGGAATCTCTGGCATATGGGCTGTAGTGTAGCATCACAGCCAAATGCCCCCAAACCCTCATCACAGTAATGGACTTCAACACGACACACGACCGCCCAGGCTGTCATGGGTCACCCTCAAATCGCATGGCAGGAAGACAAGTGCTGGTGTGCAGGGACATTGTGTTGTATTATTGTAAAATTGAATAGTATAGGTGCTACAAACGGATAAACACAATTTTCGGTCCTCCGTGTGCTCCTACACACAAACACTCATGAACTACCCATCCTTATTTATGGAAGGTCAGTGACTCCTCTTCTAATGCTATTGTGTGTGTTGAATGCTTGGCCTGTCGACTCACTCTAATGTGGCTATTTTCTGGGCCAGACTGGCCACTACAGCAAACAGGCGCAGATCCGTAAGGCCTTCTGTCACTCTGAAATCAACCAGCTCCAGAATCTGGGAACAGATCAAATACTTATTTACGGTAAATGTATATATGTAAAATATGATTTTTCAATGCAAACACAACACAACTTTCTATCTTAATTGTTTTATTTTTATTATATTTTTATTTTATTATAATAGTAATAATAGTATTAACAATCAAAATAAATACAATTTTATTATTTTATTTTTATAGATAAAATTATTATAGATAAATGAAACATTACCTAAATAGATAAAAAAAAAAAAAAAAAAAAACCTGGCACTAACTGAATTTTGTTTAAAAGAGATGTTTAGCAATCATGGCAGTAGTAATTGATTAAATCCAAATGATCAAATGATGCAGAAGAGTCTCACAACCAGGCTTATATTCAGTTGTATGGTGTAGACAAGTTTGTTTGGTGTAGATAAGGGCCCTGCAAGATGAGGAAATTTTACTGTGCAAACTACGTTCGGCACAGATTTTCAGGGTGTGTTTGCGCTGTTACTTTGATTTGCATGAATCCTTTAGTGAATCGGGTGCTAAGACAACACAGACAGTACATGCAAATAAATTGCGCTATCAGCGGTCACAGATAATTTTTAGTGAATTGCCTCCGGACATTGAGGTAAAAAAAGAAATTATATTATATTTTTCTGTGAAGGCAGCGTTCACCCTGTACACATATATTTCCTCTTCTTCAGTCAGAAGTTCTGGGGGAATGATCTCTTTCAGGGCAAGTAGCACTTGGAAACAGCTCAGATAACCATCTCCATCGCTATCAGCCTGCAGGCAGAGTATACAGTAAAAGACAGTTAAGATTACTGTCATTACCAATATGAAAATGAGCAAAACAGTTCTTTTTGATGAGAACATTGTGGGATTTTCTTTTACTCACGCCCTCAAAAGCCCTTTTGTACACTGACAGCTTCTCCTGATTGAGGATGCAGTACTTTGCCAGAAAATCGACTGCAAAACAAGCACACAAATGTATTAATGTGGGTTACAACCTACAATACACAACAGTTAACTTGAACTATGATACATTTACAGCATTTATACATACATACATATATATATATATACACTCACCGGCCACTTTATTAGGTACACCTGTCCAACTGCTCGTTAACACTTAATTTCTAAGCAGCCAATCACATGGCGGCAACTCAGTGCATTTAGGCATGTAGACATGGTCAAGACAATCTCCTGCAGTTCAAACCGAGCATCAGTATGGGGAAGAAAGTTGATTTGAGTGACTTTGAACGTGGCATGATTGTTGGTGCCAGAAGGGCTGGTCTGAGTATTTCAGAAACTGCTAATCTACTGGGATTTTCACGCACAACCATCTCTAGGGTTTACAGAGAATGGTCCGAAAAAGAAAAAACATCCAGTGAGCGGCAGTTCTGTGGGCGGAAATGCCTTGTTGATGCCAGAGGTCAGAGGAGAATGGCCAGACTGGTTCGAGCTGATAGAAGGGCAACAGTGACTGAAATAACCACTCGTTACAACCGAGGTATGCAGCAAAGCATTTGTGAAGCCACAACACGCACAACCTTGAGGCGGATGGGCTACAACAGCAGAAGACTCCACCGGGTACCACTCATCTCCACTACAAATAAGAAAAAGAGGCTACAATTTGCAAGAGCTCACCAAAATTGAACAGTTGAAGACTGGAAAAATGTTGCCTGGTCTGATGAGTCTCGATTTCTGTTGAGACATTCAGATGTTAGAGTCAGAATTTGGCGTAAACAGAATGAGAACATGGAACCATCATGCCTTGTTACCACTGTGCAGGCTGGTGGTGGTGGTGTAATGGTGTGGGGGATGTTTTCCTGGCACACTTTAGGCCCCTTATTGCCAATTGGGCATCGTTTAAATGCCACGGCCTACCTGAGCATTGTTTCTGACCATGTCCATCCCTTTATGGCCACCATGTACCCATCCTCTGATGGCTACTTCCACCATGTCACAAAGCTCTAATCATTTCAAATTGGTTTCTTGAACATGACAATGAGTTCACTGTACTAAAATGGCCTCCACAGTCACCAGATCTCAACCCAATAGAGCATCTTTGGGATGTGGTGGAACGGGAGATTCGCATCATGGATGTGCAGCCGACAAATCTGCGGCAACTGTGTGATGCCATCATGTCAATATGGACCAAACTCCCTGAGGAATGCTTCCAGCACCTTGTTGAATCTATGCCACGAAGAATTGAGGCAGTTCTGAAGGCAAAAGGGGGTCCAACCCGTTACTAGCATGGGGTACCTAATAAAGTGGCCGGTGAGTATATATATATATATATATATTGTTTAATTAAATACACTAATAAACGAACAAATACAACCTTATTTTAAAGTGTTGTGAAAAACGTGCATACAAAAGTTACATTTATTGCTAATTGTTGATTTACCATGGTATGAATTTTTGTTTTCTAGAAAGTTTAAGTTTAGTCTATAGAGTGAAAGGAAAAAGTGTGTGTGATTATGATTTAAATATGTGAGTCAGAAACTCTATTATAAAGAAATATATTAGATTTTCTATTCTATCAGAAACTCTATTATTGTATCTACTATAGATACACTAGTTTGGGGTTTTTTTAGAAGAAGAAGTCTCTTATGCTCACCAAAGCTGCATTTGTAACCAAAAACACAGTAAAACAGTAATATTGTGAAATATTTTTGCAATTTAAAATAACTGTTTTCTTTGAATATATTTTCAAATGTAATTTATTCCTGTGACTGCAAAGCTGAATTTCATTCTGGATCATTACTCCAGACTTTAGTGTCACATGATCCTTTAGAAATCACTCAAATATGATGATTAGATGCTCAAGAAACTTGTTCCATGATTGTTGAAAACAGTTGGTCTGCTTGATTAATAAAAAGTTCAGAACAGCATTTATTTGAAATAGAAATCTTTTGTAACACTGGAAATGTCTTTACTGTCACTTTTGATCAATTTAATGCTGCCTTGCTGAATAAAAGTATTAATTAAAAAAACATCTATGTAGCCTGAAGAACAACACCATAGAAAAGCTAAAGCCATGTATTTTACTATTTACCATCAATTGAGTCCAACCACATAATGAAGCATTAAGGCAGAAACTCAACCATTTGGCCAGACAGACAGATGGGAATGACTAAGATGAGTTAGGAAAAGAGGATCAGAACAGAAAAGTTAAAAAGAAAAAGAAGGAATAGGGAGGAAATAAATCTGTGGAGAGCTCATTTAAGCTGCTGCCACTCCAATACATGAAACAAACGAGAATGATAGACAGAATCCACTGAATAATGGATCTATTCATCAGCAAGGCAGAAGAATAGGGAAGAAAGAGTTGATATCAGTGTGGATTTAAAGCACTGGGCCCAATGAGCTGCGGCCTGCTCACAGGGGTCCGATTCAATCTGCCATTTATCAGCTTACCCCTAATCAAACCCGGGCCTTGCATGGCCTCTTCCATTCTCATGCAAAGTGTTACATTCGCATGTAGTCAACTTGACTTGTTAAGGCCTGATTGATCAAAACCTCTCGGTCCAGGGACGCACATCTGTTTGCAAATAACTGCGGCTAGCGAGCGCTCTGGTGTCACCCCGGTCCCTCGGCAGCGCTTGGATTTAGCTTCAAATCTGAAACAGTGATCTGTTCGGATCATTGAACTGATCTGTATTCACTGACTCTCGCTTTATCTGCACTCATCTGTCTCAGATGCTCCCAAGACGCTGAATCTGCTGGCCTGGTCCTGCTGCCACTGGTCTTGTCGCACATGTGTTTTGGTCTGGATTTTCCCTATATGAGACATGCAGCTAGGACACTTTTAGAAGTGTGTGTTCTACATGTCTAGTAAAATATGTCTGGCCCATGGAAAAAGCATGCAGCTTGATGCACCCAGAGTTGTGACATGGTCACATGCTGACAACATATACAAGCCGTTTAGGAGAAGCAGGTTATGGCATGTCCCAACCGTGTTTCCCCTATCTACCCCGATATCCTGTTTATCTCCATTGACTTGTTCACTGTTTTAGTCTTGTTGTCCAGTAAAAATAAGTATACATGTTTTTAGATATTATCTATTTATTTACTTCCCCAATTCACATTTTTTGTTTCATTTATTTATTTATTTGCTTATTTTATATATTTTCTTTATACTTTATTTATCCAGTTCACATTGCTTAAATCTAATTTATTTATTTTTGCGTTTTACAATTTTCTTTTAAGCTTATTTATTTATTTATTTACCAGTGCACATTTTTTAAGCTTAAACTTAATTTATTTATTTATTTTTGCTCATTTAAATTGTTTTTGTCTGTCTATCTTTAATTTTTCCATCCATCCATCTATCTATCTATGCTCTTGGCATTTTTCTTTTTAATTATAAATATAGATTTATGCTTAAAACAAGAAAAATAATTGTCCAATTTAGGCAAGGAAAATAAACTTAGATATTCTTTATAAATAAATCTTAATATAGTCTAAAAGTTTTATTTTAAAGTCTGAAATTATGCAATCTAGTGGGTTATCTAAAATATGACCTAAGGATCGTAGATCACTGCTATTGAAAAACACAGATTAAGAAAATAATTTTTGCAGTTTTTTTGTTTGTTGTTAAAAAGTCAACTTTATTTTTGTAAGTCACCTACAGTCTCTACCACTTTGTGGTATTTTTGTAGGCATATCAGTTATCATTTTTCTCACTTAGTAAAATATTAAGCATGTATACATATCTATTTGCGCCTGCACCACTTTCTAACTGTCTGTAGCTCCACCAAATTCCTTATTTTACCTCCTCCCGAGGCCTTTGAACTTCACTATAGTCCTCTGTTAAACTCCACTATAGATGTCTTTTAGACCCCACCAGAGTGCTGCATCCCAGCTCAGGCCACCGGTCCACTCAGGGATTTGTGGCTCATGGTGTGTGTGTGTGTGTGTGTGTGTGTTTTGGGGGGGCTCTATGCCATGGAATCAAGGGAACAAAAGGTGCAGTGGAGTGAGAGATTGAGGGAGGAAGCACAGGCAAACGTGCGGGAAGGGGGATGGAGGGGGCACAAAGCTCCTGGGCTAACGCCTCCCGCCTGATAGCCTTATCTGATTCTGCTTCAGCGGCTGATGGCTTTTTTCCACCATGGGCTTTGCTGCACACAGGTTGGTGCCCTTTGGTGTGAAGCCTAGCAGAAAATGTTAATCAAGAGAAGAAGTCTTAAAAAAAAGAGGTGGAGAGAGAGAGAGACAGAAAGTGTGATTGCAAGAACAGAACTTCTCTCATAATCTGTAATGGGAGTGACGGCAATTCAGTAGCAAATGGAAGCCAGGGAATAAGGGAAGTGTGACAGGGGTGACGAGAGCCGGGCGACGTGCACCCCGTCAACCACATTTGCACGTTTGTGCTTTGTTGCTCTCTTTTTTTTTGACAGAGTCACTCCTCTACGAGGGCTGACGGCCTCAAGCCGGAATCATTCTATGCAAAAGGCTGAAGACGCCATAGAAAACTGCAGTCACATCCCATTTAACACTCACTCTTCAGGACAGAACTTCACAGCTGTTTCACTGCAATGCACTGATTGCGCGTCCTTTCACGTCTATAGCCAATGAATAATGGATGTTCATTTTTGCTATTCAGTGTACAGTTATTTCTTACTGTCTTAGAACATATAGGCTCAACGTTTTAACTTTTCTTTCTTTTGCCTTAAAATAAGTTTGTCATGAAGGCCAATGATGCTACATTTTGACACACATACAAACACGCACTCCCGCTCAAAAATACCTCTATCATCCATACACAGAGACTCATTGTGCTTTATGGGGGCCGTTTTGTACCCGTGTTTGTTTGTGTTCTATATTTAATCCTGTAGCTTAATTGTTTATGTTCATCATCATTCAGAAAGACTCCCTTACATAGTTTACTAATAAGGTCAAACTGAATCTGCAGACTATGACCTCTTTTCTCAGATTGGGGTTGCTCTACATAC